CTTCAGTGTCATATTTGGTAGCCAGAGTAGACAGCAAATACTTGTCTTAGTTTTATATGTCTTCCTTAAACAAGAGCAAACTGTTGGTTTTGCTTGCCATAAAGTTGGAAGAATCTTGCAGGATGCTAGGGGAGGTGTTTGGGGTAGGAGAGCTCATTGCAGCTCATTCCTTTTCAGCTGAATAAGAAGGATTTATTAAGAGAAAGAAATGTGCAAATTTAAAAGCGTTATTCAGATAATGGAGGATTTCGGGTGTTTTTGACACTGCATTAATAGGCTGGGCGCTAGCTAGGACTTATAAGAGTGGGATACAAATCATCCTTCATCTAGTTTAGGGCCTGTAGCAGCTTGTGGCAAAGCTAGTGCTTTTGTTTATCTCAAAGAGCAATTTAAAAAAAAAAAACAAAAACCAACCTGCTTCCCTCTTACATATGCCATGGCTCCAAATTAAAGAAATGTGGTTCCCAGTTTGGGCAGGGTGATATCAACTAATAAATGCCAAACCTCCCCTTGGTCATGAGAGTGTACTTCAGATCTGTGCTCTGGCAGGAGGGAACTCTGGCAGTTGATGGGATAAGCACAGAAAGATTCATGTATTGATACTGTGACCAAGAGGAAGGCTGAAGAAGAGTTAGAAATTATGCTTTTTTTTTTTTTTTTTTTTAAAAAGTGTGGAGTATGTTAGGCTTCTGGAGCCAATAATATATATAGTTAGCAGTGTCCCTGCTCACTGCAGGGGGGTTGTTCTAGATGACCTCTAGGGGTCCCTTCCAACCCAAAACATTCTATGATTCTATGAATATTGCTAATGAGTTGTGAAAGCCTGGTCCATTCTTGATTAAATTCAAGATGCCACACAGCAGCTTTCTGGTTGGCACCGTGGGACCAAATAACTTGTTCAGCACTGGGCAGGAGCAGCGGCTGACGCTCTCCCAGGCTTCTCCAAACAGGCTGCTTTGCTACTTGGGAAGGGGGGCTTCCACTGATTAATGGGAACTAGTTAACACATATCAAAAATGCTGTTAAAAATTTTACCCTTCTCGCATGCAACCAGATTCAGTGACACCAAATCAAAAAGGCTAGGCAAGTATTTCTCATTGGCTGTCTGAGCTGCTAAAAAAAAACAAACCTAAAAAAATCCAAGCTTGTTAAATGGTGAAACGGCAACATGTTGTAGGTGCAATATAAGAATTGAAAGGTTTTTGACTAGGATATGTGAGATGCCATCAGAGATCCTTCAAAAGATCCACCACCTGAAATTAAATGTGTTCATTCAGCCTCTCTGGCATCAATTACAAACTGAATGGTCCACAAGTAGTCTCGGTGGACTGAAAAGTAAACTGGGATGACGATGGAAGTAATTTCTAAAAGCATGTCCATGTTGGCTGATTATATCTAACACTCTGGTAATGAAATTTTGAACTACAGTAAGGCAAAGTTGTTGGTAGAGCAGTCTTGCTTTAAGCTGGAATTTATTTTCAGCTCTTTATGATAGCACAGCCTGGTGATTCAACCTGTGTTCTGCGCCCCTAATCCTCTTGACTAAGCAAAACCTTTCTCAGTGGTGTAACTCAGCCGCAATAAAAGGTCATGGAAAAGCCTTGACCATAAGGTGTTTGCTGTCTGAACAGCATGGTCTGTCTTCCTGATGCAAACCCAAATTAATTCAATCCCTTCTGATGCTGTCTTGAGTCAGTGTTTTATGTTAACCTTGCGTGCATCCTTTGGCAGCAGGTCATTATAGAAGCATGGCCTTTCTGCAGTACATGTATTTTGTGGGGCTGTAAGGAAAGGTTACTGCCCTTCATGCCTACTAAAGCTTCTATGGAGCAAGAAGTATAGTCTTTATATAACCATACAGTTACATGAATTAGTCAAATGTTCCTTAATGTTCACGTGTCATGGATTTGGATGATGTCATGAAGTTACCTTGCTTTGTGGATATTCTGACTGGTATCCACATGTGCATAATCCTATACTGTCCCTTGAGTATTTGGGGCAAAGAAAGTACCTCTCGGATCTCAGGCCTCCAAACTACTTGGTCAAAGGGAGTTACCACAACTCCCAGGGGAGCAGCTTGGCACAAGACCCTTTGGGACAACTAGTGGAAGGACATATTTAGTGCAACTTCACTAAGTTCTCATATAAGGCTGTGGAAAGCAGACTTTATTAATCCCAGAGCATGTTTTCTATTATTCTCTTAAAGTACAGTGGCCAACCTCAGTGGCCAGAACTGGTCTGAGTCTGCCTTTGTGTTTGCAGGGTGGCTGCTGAGCAGCAGCTGGGCAACTCTACTCTGGAACAGCGTGGGTCTCCATTGGTTTAGGCTGGGCTGTACTGGACTTTCTTCCTCAGAGGAGGACCTAGCTATCCCTGCTAAGATACAGAAATCAAACTAGGATTCAAACAAGTACGTGATAAAGGCTGTGGAGAAGCAGAACATGCAGCAGCCTGGGAAGAGGCTAAAAGCTCTCGGGGGTAAGGGGAAATGTAGGGGTGGGCTGGCTGAACACGCCGGCTAACGAGAAAGGAAGAGTGGCGTGACTGAGCAAGCCTCTTCCATTAACACCACAAGGGGAAGGAGCGCTGGCTCGGTAGTCAAGATTGAGTTGCTATTTCATTTCCTGACAGCCCGTGATCCTTTCGGGAGCGTTGCTAAGGTCTGCAGACAATCAAATCTGTCCAGGTATACTTGGAAATCCTGTACAAGCTACCCCTGAAGACTCAGATTTTGGGGGGAAGTTAGTCCCGATCCTAGATAAAGGTGTATGGTGACACGTCTTAAACTGTATTGGCAGTGCCTTTCTCCAGTAAAAAGCTGGAGAGATTGCTTTCTAACTGCTTCAAGGTAGAGTCTTCTCGCTGGGAGGAGAATGCACCCCCCTTTTTTGCAAGGTGTCCCCCGTTTGCACTCAAAACCAAGCTGAGGGGGAGAACAAAGATTGTGCGTGCCACTGCTAGGGCGAGAAAGGAGGGACAGAAATGGTCCCCAGCCCCCCATCAACCAAAAAGGTGCAATTTCTGAAGCCTGGCTTCACTTCTGAACATAATGGAAAGGATGCTCAAGGGAGCAGAGTTGGGAACCCTGGTGGTTCTTTCCGTATTATTTCTGCACCGAAACTTCATACTCTTTAATATTTGAAGTGAAGTGAGATCAGCTCGCGTGAGTCACCGACCCTCGACACCAGGAGGAGAGCGTAGAGGAAGGGCTTACCTGACCGACTGCCCATGGGGGAGTGCGAGAGCACAGTGCAGGCAAGCAGGGACAAATCTAAAAATCCAAATTGCCTCATGACATGCAGCTAAATAAAAGATTGAAGGGTACTTTCTTCTTAGAAATTACTCTAGAAATATGCTTGCACAAGCTTGAGGGGGAAAAGTGGTTTGGTTTTTCTCCAGGAGAGGAGGAAAGTGCTAAAAAGTTTAATGTCTATATGATGTTGTTGTTGTTACTTTTTTGTTATTTAAAAAAAAAAAAAATCTAATTACAAGGATCGCCTAGAAGGGGTAAGATGTTGGGCCTGATTAGGTTGGTGGCAGCTTGTTTACTTGTCTGCAGGGAGGTTGAATCTAATGGGCTAGTTAACCACCTTGGAAACCAGTTGTTCTATGGAAACGTGGTGGGGGGTGGATAAGGTATTAAAGAAGAGACAACTGGATAAACCTGGTATCTTAAAAGAATGAAAAGGCCATACGGCCAGTAAATGCAGCCATGTAGGTGGTAAAGTGACAATGGGAGAGCTCAACTGTTTTGTTCGACAGATGATACTGTGCTGGTTAACCTCTTCCTAGGGTGAGAGGGAGTGTCACAGCCATTTATAAGTGATACTGTGTTAATGGATGCTAGAGAAATACAGTGGGCCTGGGTGCAAAGCTGGCATGAACCTGTGTTCTTTTTACATAATAAAATGAGATGTCACACTCACGGTAAAACCGTGATCAACTTGGATGATGCAATGCAGTATCTCCTAAACTTGCAGATAGGGCAGTGCTGGGAAGGGATGACGAGGGTATCTTGAGGATGGGATAGAAGTCAAAACTCTGGAAAACAGGGAATGTAGTTGGATGGGGAAATACGAAATTCAGAAGAAGTGACTTAAGAGCTTTGGTCTGAAATCTGAGAAGGGAGAATTAGTTAGGTAATGACAGCTCTGCAGAAATAAACCTGGGGCTTGCCATGAGCTGAAGGTCAAGCATGTTGTATTGATAGGAACAGTAAAGTATATACACCCGAGGCCAACAAGAGGCATGAAGTACTCGCTCTGCTTTATTCAGGGTTGTCACCTTCAGAGATGCTAAACAGCTTTGACTGCTGTGTGTTACAACAACCAGGTGCAGTGGAACAGGGGGTTGGCCTCTTCTTTCAGCAACTGAACTTCTGTGCTGGTTGGTGCACTCCTTGAAGGCTAAATGGAGAAAGCTCAGGGTTGTATTCTCCTATGTGGAAGGCTGGCTTCTATCTCAGGACTTGGCTTGAGTGCCCACACTTCTAAAAAGGGAATAATTCTGCTTCCAGTGAGGTGCTGTCATTTCAGATACGCAAATGGTGCTAGAAGGGCTCAAAAAGGCAGAGAAGCCAAACTACTTTGTTTTCCCTCCCTTTCTGCTCCTTAGCAGTAATGCAGTAATTCACAGATGAAGTGGTTGGTAGATAGCAAAGACACAAGCAGTCAGAAGCTGAAGCAGAAGGGTTATGTTGTGTAAGGACTGAGCATCGACTGCTGCTCTGAACGGATTCCTTACTTTCTTCTTTCCCAAAGCAAGTGCAGCCTGGAAGCAGTACAGAGAAGGGAGGCAGCAAGACTGACCTTTCCAACACTGAACAGGCTAACCAGAACTACTCTTTTGGGGAGGGGGGATGGAGTGAGAAAAGATGAGGAAAATGCAATCTGAACAAAGAAATTTTTTGTAACCTTTGAGAGCTCTTTGAGGACTCTGCCTGAGCAACTTGATAACTTGAAGTGATCTCATCACTAACAGACCTTTTCCCCGTCTCTTTAAAGCAAACTACAAATCTGAGCCTTCCTCCTGAAGATCTTGATTCATCTGGTGATGACAACGATGCGTTCTCAGGTTCAGGTGCAGGTGAGTTATTAGCACTTGTACTGTTAGTGCTTGATCCTCTGGAGTGTGGCAATTGAGATCTTGATGAGCATCCAGGCTAAAAGGGGGGAGGGAGGAATCACACCCCTGCCCCTGCATATGAGCGCTGGAAACAGAGAAGGATCCTAATCTATTCATCTTGTATTGCTTCAGACACTAGCAATTAGCAGAAAATGAGTTGTAGGAGACTTGAAAGGGAGCAAAAGCAGGTATATTCCATGTCACTGCTAATGTGAAATATTGCGGGAAGAATGTTATGAAACTGGAGGGATTCTTCACTCGTGGGGAAAAGAGACTGTAAGACGGGCCTTTTGTCCTCTCCTACGAGCTGGTAGGAGATACCATTTGAGGGGGTGTAAACCCCAACCTGCCAACATACATCAAGTACAAATTGTCATCAGATGTGCAAGTTCCCATGGGCTGTAATTTTTTTAAAAGCAGAATAAAGGGGTTTCAGGGTGGGAGAAAAAACCTGTTGGAATGATTACTAAGCTGCATGAGAGAGACTTTTGTTGTTCAGGGCTGAAGTTGAGGAGATGCTACTGAGGAAAGAGCAAGCTATTGAAAGCTAAGGCATGGTATTCTTCTGCTTGATTCCAGCCACGTGCTTGTATTTTAGATTAAGTTCTGCAGGAATAAGACCCTGAAATTGGTGCCAAATGTGCCAGTGATGAAAAGTATTGGGTATATGGGTGACTGCTCTGAATCACATAGAAGATAACCATCCTGAGCAAGCAGATGTCTGAAAGCTGATGTCCCCCTTGCTGACCTGTCTGCAGGCTAGCACTTGTGCTTTGGGAAGAAGCAGATGACTAACAAAGTGTTGCTGAATAGCACGTTGGTCTTTCCATTCCTTATTCCAGTGCAAAGGATAAGGAATTACAAACTGAACTGCTGTTATTACAAAAATTGGCTCTGCAGGCTAGGCATCCTCCTTAGACCAGCATCCTGAAGATGCTATTAATAGGTCTCTTAACTGGCTAAGGATAATACTTTTTGTTTTGCAGGTCCCCTGACTGACCAGTCTCGCACCTGGAGAATCCCAGGAGAACCAACTAATTCCTCATTACTGACAACACCAATGGATTTCAACAAACCGCTGTTTCCCTGGACTGAGAGCCGAACTGAAAAGGAACTAATATCTCCTTCTGCAACTAGTAATGTAGTGACAGAGGAGCCAGTTGTAGCTGTGAAGGACGAAGTGCCCATCCTGGGCTCACCTGATGAGAAAGCAACAAATGATGTGGTTACAATAACAGCGATAAGCCCCACTACTCACTTCCCTGCAGTGGTTCATGTGACTCCTTCAGAAGCCTCAGGCACGGTTCATGAGCTTGAACCTAAAATCCCTAGCTCTGATGTGCCAGACACCAAAGATGAACCCGAGCCCCACACTACCGTCCATCATGAGGGAGACCTCACTGCCACCCCCACGATGATGACGGCTCCAAAGGATGTTGTTCCTACACATGAGGAGGTTTCTGAAGATGGCTCTGGAGACCCGGTGAGGACTAATAGCTTTGACACCCTTTCCAGGGAGATGACTTTAGTAGTATGCAGTAAGTTGGTTTTTGCAGGATAGGGTGGTAATTTGTCAAAAACAATGATTGATTTAATAGTTTATATTGGTGGAGGGTTTTAGATGAGAAAAAGCAAAGCTGTGGAAAGTCTCCAGTAACAGACATGATGAGAAACATGAATAACCTGACTTGTATGTCCCAACAGGGAGACTTCATCTTGACTAGAGATGATGATGTCATCCCCACCCAGAACTCAGAAGTACTGGCTGACTCTGGGAGGAACGCCAAAGCAGCAGGAGCCTCGGGAATTATGGACAGAAAAGAAGTTCTTGGAGGTACCTGATATTCTGGATTTCTAGTTGGTAAAAGCAGACTCTCGTAGGAGTCTTCCAGGCAGCAGAAGCTGCAGTTCTGCAAGTACATCTCTGAGCATGAAAGCCAACCTTTTACGTTAGACCTCTGAAATGAGGCTGGTGATTCATGCTTCGGTGTTGGCAAAACTCTAACAGGAGTAAATCTTAATATGCTAATAGTAAAGCAGCCACTGCTAGTTATCTGGAATTTTATGTTTAAACCTATTCCTTTGCTCCTCTCAAAAATTACAGTAAAGCTGCTCTAATGCTGCCTGGGTCAAATTATTGGAGTTGAAGAAGGTAGCCTTGCGTGCTTTGCAGCACAGCCTGGTGGGAGATCTGTTTCTCTAGGTTTACCCCATGTAGATGGGCAGGCTTTTGGTAATGGCGGGATGACTGGTTTGGGAAAGGGGCAAAAGGACAAATTGATTTCTGTAAGTCATGGAGTCAGGGACATCCCGCAAATAAGGAACAATCTGGAACTTAGAATCATGGTAGCGTTATCTGGTGCGGCGTCTAGAGTAACTTGTGGCTTTTCCCCCTTCTAGGTGTTATTGCTGGAGGACTAGTAGGCTTGGTGTTTGCAGTGTTTCTAGTTGCATTTATGCTGTACAGAATGAAGAAAAAAGACGAAGGCAGCTATTCATTGGATGAACCAAAACAGTCTAATGGAGGATACCAAAAACCACACAAACAAGAAGAATTCTATGCATAAACACTGATCTTCAGGACACTTCTTACTCCATCTTTCTTGGACTCTTCTCTCCCTGCACGTGGACCTCCTAGTGTGCTTTGCATTAAACTTAAGCCATAAGATCATTGGGTTATTTGCCCTTAACACTTTGCCATTGGAAATTTTATAACTACAAACTAGATCTGGATTCACTGAACATTCCCTGCTTTCTTGCACAACTTTTTTAATTTTATTTTTTTTTAAACACAAGTGGGACTGCAAGTTCCTAAACTCGCTTTGGTTTATCTAAAGACTTCTGGGGCAAGCGGTGGGGAGAAGATAAGGGAGCACTGTATGTATAAACCTCTTGATATTTAGGGGAGGGGCTAGCAAGAATAAACAATTATCAGTGCTCAAACTCTGTGTAGCAGGGATCCTTTCTATTTAACTCATAGATGTGTTTTAAGTGTAACAAACGGCTGCGCTGGGCAGACATTTGGTACACTGCAATCCTCTAGCTCTTTTTGACTGCCGTATTTGGAGCACTTAATGCCTATGAAACATCAAGCTGAACGTGATTTCTAGTGAAATGAGGTGTGAGGGCCAGGGTAAGCAAATGACTGGCACGTGGTTTAAAATAACTTGTATTTTGGAAACATTGTCCCATACTTAGAACCAGCTCGTAAGTAGTTGGCATATACACTAATACAAAACAAACCCCAAAGGCCCCAGAAACAAAGTGGAGAGTTCATTTTACCAATAGCATTGGACTGTCCTACTACCCTCTTGCTCCTTCTAGGCTTAGGTAAGAAATGGATTTTTCTAAGCAGTCTCATCTCGGACATTCCCTCTTCTTAGGTGCCAAATCCAGGCTGGGCTGTTGTGCTGCGAATATTCTTATCCCATGCTACTGTGTGGTTGCCCGGTGCGCGATGGCGTGTTGTAGCACCTACCTCTCTGCACAGTGGTTGTCTCGGAATGCGGTCTGCTGTCTGTGGCACAGAATGCCTTGGCACACAGGGGTGGAAGGCGGAAAGCAGCGTATCGTGACTTTGCAGCTAAGGAGTTAGAGAAGCATAGCGTCTGAAACAAGCCTGATGAAGGCTAAGTGTAGATGGCCTTAAATATATACAACAGTTGGCGTGCTCGACTCTCATGACTCCGGAATGGCTCGTCAGAAGCTGTTCCTGCACTTTGGAGAGAAGCAACTCCAGGGATGTCAGACTAGTAAGGGCTGAAAAGCGCCTCCTGAGGGAAGTCTGCCTGAAGCTGTCGGTGGTCAATGTGCTGTCAGATGCAAGGCACTGAGGCCTCATTGAGGGTCTGGAGTTCTCTGGAGTATCTCAAACCGAGTGAGAAGAAAAGCGTGGTGTTCTGCACAAGCCTTACTTCTGCTCTGCCTTTGGTTAGCTTTTGCAAGTTCAGTTCCTCATCACTCAGTGCAGAAGGTGTGGGGTGGGTGGAGGAGTGTTTATAACTGGTGTAAATATTTGTACTGTTGAGGCAGAGGGAACGATTGGAGAATATTGGAGAATGTTGCAACATTTTCTACAAATGTTGTGCGTTAGCAGTAAAACTTAAAAACCTGTGTAATTTAAATGAAGTATAAAACACTCCTGAGCTGCTACGCAGCTAAAATTGGTGCCTTCTCTGCAAATCCAAGAAAAAAAACCAAACCACTTCATTCCAAACTCTTCTTTATGCACAAGGAAAACTTGTGCATATGTGTAGCTGGCTGTTTTTAAGTAAAGCTGCAGTCCATTATGTCTTTTTTTACTGAATGAATTTTTATAGGTTACTGCAATGACCAGATGGTGTTAATTTCAGCTGTAATTCTTTGCTTTGTATAGGAATATAGAGAAGTTGTTTGATAGGTTTATCTATGAAAAGGTTCTTGTAAAGCACAGGAAGATAAAGTGGTAAACTTCGGTTGTACCTCACAGCCTTGCTAGGGAGAAAGGAAAAAAGAAAAAAAAAAAAACAACCTGTATATTTTGGTAGTCTAAACTGACAGTTTGTGAAACAAACATGACACTGTTATTTAAGTGGTACAAATGAAATAGGAGTTCTAACAGAAGATGCAACATTTGGTTATCTGTATGCCATGTAAAGGTATACTGCAATAAATGGCATTTTGGCAAGAATGTGTCTGATCTGTGAGCATTGCTGTATAATAGTACTTTCACAAAGTAGATGTGGTTTTTAAGACTGCCTAGGTCCTTAAGGAAATTGGATTCCAAGTATGAAGTGTGAATTTTGGCACCAAACATACGGAGGTGCAGCTTGGAATTTGAAGGGGTATGAGCATGGCCTGCTTCCCTCTCACCTTGCCCTGGATGTCTGGGTGCAGTGAGCTGCTCTGCCCTCAGGATGAACCAGCTGTCGTGGAGACTTGAATGAAATCTCTGCAGCATTTAATGCTGGTTCTGATTTTGGGAGCTCTCCTTGCTTGTGCTGTATGTCACCATCCCCAAAAAGGTGAAATTGTAAGTCTTCCACAGGGCTCCCTCTTGCTACCTGTCTTCTACCTCCAGGGTTTGAGAACAGGGAGAGCTGCATGAAGGGCAGCTCCAAGTCTTTCTATTAAAATGTGCTTCCCAGGACAAATTTGGAGATTGTACCTCCAAGGAGGGAGAATAGAGCAGGCCTGTCCTAAGTATTCTGCTGTACAGCATCAATCTGGGGTCCTAAGGCTTGTGTGGGAAGAGATGGAGCAAAACAGAAGTAGAGGAAAATACCCTTCACAAAATAGGGAAGTCAAAAACTTCTGCCTGTCTGCGTGGGTCTTATTGCAGCTTATACAATTATTTTCTTTTACAAGGCTTTGAGCTGTTAAGAAACTAGCTTTTTCTGTTCTGTAAACTAGCCACTGTATTTTTAGTTTATAATCTCCTCTTGCTTACACTGGAACCACGTGGGCTGTATGTTTCCCATCAGAAAACGTTTGGAGGAATCTTGATGATAGGAAGGTTTTGAGATTGGGCACAAGGATCAAAAGACTGAGTTTAGAAGATTGCTTCCATGGCTAAATAAAGCTGGAAGGTGCTTTCCAACCGCATGCCAGCTTTGCCAGTCCCTTAAACTGGGTAAAAGACTTGTGCAAGATCAGAGTTGCCTGTGCTGCATAGGAGTGTGTTACCTGCTGTGGATTCTTTTCTTCAGGTGTTCCCAAGACTTTTGCTTTGGCTTTTCCAGTCAGCGATAATGTGGGAAGTGAGGGTGGCAGGGAGGGAAAAAATGAATTGTTGAGGAAAGCGGGAAATTTCTCTGTGAAAACCCTTCCAAGTGAAACATAGTGTTTGATCCTCAGTGGCACTTGAGAGAAACCTCGCGGTACTGAGCGAGAAGGGGGAGCCTGCCTCACTTCTGGCGCAGGGTGGCCTGGGTTTTCCTCAGTCACGTCTCTGTTGGCTCTGCTTCCTGACTTTCTTCTTCATCCATGCTGGAGCAATTATCACATTTTGCTCTTGTTCACAAGTGGGATGCAAAGAATGTAGGTGGCAGAAAATCTGACCCTTTCTTTGTTCTGGAAAAATGGGCCGGAGGGTGTAAATGCACAAAATGTCAAGGAAGGCAAACTATGAGAGGAGGATGACTTGCCACAATTCTCACTTTGTCAGGTTGCATTAGATCCTAGAAAGGAAGCTAAAGCAAATCTAAAAAGGCTGCATATTCTTGTAGTTGAAATAGAGAGCAGGGGAAAAAAAAAAAAGAGGGTCACTCATGGGGGGGTACTGAGAAGAAAAGCTATTTCAGCCATTTCATAGCCGCCCTATCTGAGCCTTTGCCAGAACTGGTATGTGTATTGATGAAAATTAGTGGAATAAAGGTGCAGGGTGAAATTTTCTCCATTTGAGGTAGCAGCAAAACTCAGAAAAACTTTAAATGTGCAGGAGATGAGCTAGAGGCTCAAACCTGAGTAGTTACATGGTGTTCTGGAGTGGTGTTTAGCTCCTGAAACTGGCAGCCTGATGGACAGCACTTTTAATAAGCTTGTCAAATTAGAGGATGGCAATTTTACTGTAGAAAATGCAGTGCGGGGTCTACCCTAAGGAAAGAGGGGAGAAAAGGTATGGCCTCAGCAGTATGCAGGATCTTGCAAAAGGATCTGAGATAGAAAAATTAAAAGATAGGATGCTGATACATGGGATAAAATATAAAATAGTTACCAAAAGTGGATTGTGCCAGACTAATCAGATCTTTTCCTTTTGATGGCAGTTTTTTCAGTCAAAAACAATCATCTAATTGAATTTCAGTAAAGCAATTTATCGGTGCCATACAGAAAATCAATAATCAAATGGAGGAAGCTGGGTGATTAGGGGAGGAATTGTAAAGTGGTGAGGAAAGGGCTAAGGAGGAGCCTGCAGCAGGCTCTGCAAGACAAGGAGTTAGGAAGAAAAGATCTCATTTTGGGGCCGTCTCTCTAAATATTGTCATTATGGTGAAATGGAAGGGAATACACAGAATTACATTTCCTGTTGGGAATTTGGGCAGCCTCAACAGCATGGAATATCAGGAGTAGAATATTTTAATGTTGTGACAAATAACAATTGGGATCAACTTCAATAAGACAAGGTCAGGCGTTGGAGGGGGTAACAACAGGAATTTCTGCTCTGACCTGGGAATAAGAGAGGGGAAGAAAGGCCTAGGTGAATTAGTCAGTTCTAGAATAATTATCTCTGTGGTGCAGCTGTAAGAGGAAAAAATAAGTAAATACAAGATGTAGTAGCCAAGGCATTTCCAGCAAATTAAGGGAATTTTCAGCACCGTGAGTATCATTTGATGCCAAGAACTAGTGAGCCTTTTGCTTACCATCACCTACTAGGATTAATTCATGCTGGGAAGGAACAGAGGAAATACATTAAAATGATGTGGGAGTACAGTCTCTTCCCACAAAAATGTTCAGCTTGGGAAATCATAGACTGACAGGTCCTGCAGTCGCTGTCTGCATGCTTGTTGTGGTACAGGACAATAACAGAGATTGGAGAAGAGCAATTTAGGCTAAACAAGAATATGGGAGGAAGAAAAAAAAAAAAAAGAAA